CATTCAACATTTCCTTAGATTCTCTGAGATCCACAGGATCTTTCCAACAAATTGCTTCTTGCTCAAGATGATTCAAGTTGAGCTTTGTTCTTGAAAAACAAGAGAATCTTCTTAACGAATGCGGAGGGACCTCTCCACTGAGGTCTTCTGTTACTGGAATCAGGAAAACGTTCTTCTGAGGAGAAACAGCAGCGTGTTGATGTCAATTACATGCAACTTCGATGGATAGACATGCTCTTTTGATAATTCAAAGACCTTTACTCCCAGGGCAATGGAAATTGTCACTCTACCAAAAGACAATCCAGCGAATAAGATCCCTGGGCGAACTTAAGCATGTTTTTATACACCACTAACTACTTGGCAGGGAGTCTGAGAACATTGTGACCACAAACGACATAAGCTGAAGTTGGAAAAGCTGGTGCCAATTGAAGAGATACCAGTGATGAAGATGAATTATCTGCAAAATTATAACAGAAGCCAACGGCAAAGTACAATTCAATTTCAAAGGGAAGAAGCTTACAAACATTATAGAAACTCAACCAGAGAGAAGAGCAATAAATAAGTGTGGACTCCAAGGTCTACCTGAGCTTTGCTATTTTCTCTCCGCTGGTTTCCAGCTCTGTGATCTTGAGCAAAGTATCTTACATCTTGGAGCTTCAGGCTCCACTTGTAGAACATGAGATCAATAATTCAGGGTGGCTCTGAGGAATAAAGGTAAAATATGCAGATCATTTAGTGTCGTGCTGGCCCATAGTTAATATTCAAGAGGTGGTCGGTAGTGCTGTCAACAATGACGATGATGATGATGACAATGTCGATGATGATGGTGATGATGATGATGACAGGTCAGGTGGTGCTTAATCCAGAAAGCCCCGTCTATTCCACACCAGTTTTTCCAACCTTTGGGGAAAATCCTGGTGTTGTCCTCACCTCCACAGTCAAGTAGATAATTGCCTATTTGCACAAGTTCAAGGACTGTGTTTCAAGTAGCTTCTGTGCCTCCTGTGATGATAAAAGAGCAAGATATGAAACTAACTTGCATTTCAGAGAAGTTTCGTCATTTGCTGAAGATCACACAGCTGTTAAGTGACAGGATTCAGTAAGTTCAAAAACAGGTTTGTCCCACTCCGCAGCCCAAGCTCTTACCCTCCCACCTTATCTTTCCTTCCTAGGATGTTCTTATCTATTAATGAAGCTTGGGATTGCAACCCACTCTTGTTTTTGATGATGACAGTCTTGTTGTGTTTCCAAACCCCATGTTGACCCCGTGATAGGGATATTTTGATTGATTATGGCTCCAGTCAATGTCAAATACACATCCTGTCCTTTGAGCCCCAGCGTTATGGATTCAGCATAACGGAATTAACCCGGAAACTGTTGGGCAATGCCTAATTACTGCACTTGGTGTCAAGGATGATGGGGGACAAAACTCGTGGAGGTATCAGCATTGCTTGGTTGCCCGTGGTAGGGAATTAGGAATCTCCTAGTGTTTGCGCTCTGATTAATTTAGATTTGTTTTCCTTACTAAAACTCCCAGGCATTTGACCTGCTCACGTCATGGACACCCACGCTCTCCAGAGTCTCCTTGCAAATGGGGCCAGACAGGCTGCTCGGAAGGGCTGCTGCTGCTCCAGGGTCTGCACACTCTTCGTGCTGGTCCCATTCTGTGGCCTCAGTGTGGGCCTGTGGCCAAGGGCCCCTGATGGAGGCTGCTTGGGCTCTGGTCCCAGTTCTACCACCTACAAGCTGAGTAAACGTAGGGTAGTTAACCTCTCTGTGCCTCAGTTCCCTTATCTGTATAATAAGGACGATACCCCAAATGCATAAGCCTGTTGTAACGAGTAAATGAGATGTCAGACACAAAATGGTCAACAGTCTGGGTTTCCAGGCAGTCATTGGCCCCTGAGCTCTCTGGTTACCAGCCACCAGCAAAGCCCAAGAACGGCATGCAGCTCCGCTTGGCCTCTGTAGGGGTAAGAGGAATTCATATGACCTCCAGGCTTCCATTCCTCCTTCTGCTCCATCACCCACCACACTCCCACAAACCGTCCCGCTGCATCTCCCTGGCTCCCCTGCCCACCCCCGAGAACCACGGAGCAAAACGCATACTGTGGGGTCGGGGCTCTCAAGTCAGATACTTGCACCTCCAAAAATGGACTGTGTGTCCCACTGCCAGCTATTTAGTGTTTCAGCATTTCTAGAACGCAAATGATAATGGGAGCTGAATGAAAAAGAGGAAACAATGCCTACTGGCGTCTGGCACATGATAATCACACAATGCATGCTATCGTTGTTTCCAGATATTTTCCTCTTACAAGAAAGGATAGTGTCTTCTTTGCAAGAATCCTCCCTCTGTCTCTCTGTCTCTGCCTTTCTCTGTGTTTCTCTGCGTGCATGCGTTAGTTATCCCAGTCTCTTTCTACATAGTTCTCTAACTCTCTCTGTCTTTTCATCAGACTCTCTCATGTCTCACTCTGTGTCTCCCTTTAAATCATTCATTCCCTCTCTCTTCTTTATATTTCTCGTACCCGCTCTGTCTCTCTGTCTCTGAACCATAGTAATTAAAAGCACGTCCTCTGGGTCTGTCTGCCTGAACTTGCAGACTGACTCCACACTTTCAGAACTATGCGACCTTGGCAATCTGTTTAGTCTCTCTGAGCTCATTTTCTCACTTCAAAAGTTAGGAAAATAACAGCATTTACCTCATGGAGTCGTCATGAAGAGTAAATGAGATAATGCACCTGGGACACCAAGCACAGTGCCTGGCCAAGAGCAAGCACCTAATAAATATTAGCTGTTATTATTATCTATTTCTCCTATCTCCTTTGATCTCTGGATCTTTCAGTTTCTATTTCAGGTGGATTCTCTTCCTTTCTCTATCTCTATATTTCTGACCCTGAGTCTCTGTGTATGTGTGTATCTCTGTTTCCTCTCTCTCTTTTCATTCCCTCCCTCTCTCCTTCCCTCATTCTCTCTCTCTTCCTCTCTTTCTGTCACTGTAGCTCCTTTTCTAGATTTGTTTAGCCACATAAAGCTCTTGATCAGATATAAATCTCAGGCCACCCACAAAAAATTTAAAACGAACCGTTGTGGTGCTGAGGGAGTATAGATGGTTTGGCAGCCCTTGCCAGGTTGCTCAGGAGATGCCCTGGGGGTCCAGTGACGACAGAGTGAATGCCAACGCTGTTGTCTTATGCCATGGTAACCACCTGCTGTGCGTCACTACAAGACAAATGGTGCCGCTCGTAAGCAGGGAGATTAACAGCATATATGTGGAGTGTGAGCTCTCCAAAGGGAGCAGAATGTTCAACGATAATTCATCTGAACTCCCTTTTTTAACTCAAAACATGAATTCAGTTGCCAGTAGAAGTCTATAAAGAATTAATTAGGGAACTTCACAAACAGTCAAAACTCATAAATTTGTCACTGTCGAAAAGAATCATTTCCCCTGTCAGACGTGAAGTATGGCTGTCAGAAGATGGAAAGAAAGAAAAACGCTCAAAGAAGCAGGCCTGCTGTCTCTTTTCTGTTCCCTAATTAGAGGAAAGAAGAGAATTAAGAACTTGGAGAGTTCAGAGGGAGAAACTGACAATGCTCCTAGACCATATGCTCCATGTGGACGTGGAGGACCATGAGGACAAGGTCCTCCGTGTCTGTTGTGTTCACTGCTGGAGCCCCAGTGCACAGCTGGGTGCTCAGCACATAGTAGGAGCTAAAAATATTTCTTGAAGTGACTAGTGGTTCAAAAGAAGGCAGTTGGCGTGAGACTGAGGCCAATGGGGAGGATGAGATTGACGGCCCTGACTTCTGACATGGAATCTGACTTCCCTCTGTTGCTCTTTGCCACTTCCTGTAAAACAGGAAGTGAGACAGCAGCATCCTCTCCTTACTCTGAGCATTCCTGATGACTCCTTCCCAGTTATCACCACGGTAACCCCAGGAATAATGGAGAGCATGGCTTTGGAACTCCCACAAGCCTGGCTGCATTCTAACTTCTATTAGTATCAGTTTCTTCTTCATGAAAAGAAGCTAATCATTGCAACTACATCACAGAGTTTTTATGGAGATGAAGCGAGAAATTCATTTGAAGACAGATATTAGCTACTGCTGTTATTACTATGCGAAGTGAAGGGGACTGGATTCGTCTGTAGGGCTGCCGTAACAAAATAGCACAGACTCGGTGGATTAAACAACATAAACTCATTTTATCACAGTTCTGGAGGTTAGAACTCCAAGACGATCAAGGTGTCAGTGTTCATCTCTTCTGAGGCCTCTCTCCTTGGCTTGCAAATGGCCGCCTTCTCCTCTGTCCCCACCTAATCTTTTCCACGTGTGTGCATCTCTGATGTCGCTCTATGTGCCCAAATTTCGTCTTCTTATAAGGACACCATAAGAATTGGATAGGATTAGGGCCCACCCTAACAGCCTCATTTTAACTTAATCACCTCTTTATCTATCATCTCCTATCTCCAAATGTATTCTGAGGGCCTGGGAATTAGGGCTTCAGCGTATGAATTTTGGAAAGACACAATTCAGCTCATATTAGGGACCCTCATTATAATCATGCTTTGATTTAATCAAGCTGCCCGACAACTTAAGAGAAAACAAAAATTTACCTTCCCCCTGACCCTGAGCCGAGTTCATCCTTGTAAAACATTTGACCTGAAAGATGTTTTTCAAGCTTGATCTGTTTGCATGCAGAGAGCCAGGCAGCCCAGAGGTCCAGGCACCACCCTTGGATCTCTGCCCCCAGCTGGCTGCCTGATAGGATCTCAGTCACGTACCTTGTTCTCTGCCTACTCCTCGTTTAGGAGAAGCGGATCGTACCACATGGTGCCAAGACCCCCATCTGCTCTAACTCTAGCTATACAGTTGCTTAAGACACTGAAAGGGCCTGTGAAGGTTTGTATACAAAACACGAGTTGTGTGAATACGGAAGAGTGTTGCCTTCTCTTATCTCGAGGATGTGGTTTCTGGAGCTCTCCATGGTAGTAGGGATGAAGTAGAGGACATGAAAACCATGTACAAAACACAAAAAAAATCAGGGTGCCAACGTTGTGAGAAAACTCGTGAAAGTCTTTATTATCGTGACCCCTCCATCTTGTCTGGCATCCAGAAGAGGTTGCAGGTCCAGATTGTTACCAGAAAGAGAACAATCTGACAGAGTCTTGTTCACTCAAGAAGCAGAGCAGAGGGTGCAAAGATGCCCTTGCCTCTCCCTTCAAAATGGCTTTCAATCCAATCCAGGTCCACCTCTGGGAGCCTCTGGGAGCTTCTGGGAGTCTTTCTCTTCTCTAGCTTCTGTCTCTTTCTCCTCTCCTTACCCTCAGACTCTTGGTCTTGACTCTCCCACTGCCAGTGTCTTGTTCTAGCACGAAAGACAAAGTCCTCAGCTTCTGAACATCATGCCTGATTCCTTCCTCTGTCATGGGAAAAGGCTTCACGCCTTTCATTGACCTCAAGTGAGGGCAGTCTAGTGCAGTGGTTAGAAAAGACATTCTGGAGCCAGTCTGAATCCCTGATCTTCCACTTATTACCTGTGAGATCTTGGGAAAGTTACTTAACCTTTCCGTGCCTCCATTTCTTCCTCTGTGAAGTGGAAATGACAATTGTTCCTACCTGTTTGGGTCATTATGAAGGTTAAATGAAAAGTTTTAACTCAGAGGAGAGCGTGAACACTAGTGGTTGATGTTGGGCAGGACAATTTATTGGGGTACATAAAGAAAATATCTGTCATTTCCTTTCTAATTTCTTGTTTTATGTCTTTTTTATAAGATATGTACTGTATGAATACAGTAGTACATATTCGTAACATAAATAAACAAACATATATTGTGGAAGAATGCTCAAAAAACTGTAATAGGGCACACAATCAAAAGAGTTTGGAGACCACTGATCTGTGAGCAAATAATCCTTTCTTTTAAAAAAATAATTAGAAGAGTATTTTTCAGAACACTCTTTTCTCTTGTTCATACCGACTTTTTCTCTGAGCATAATATATTTGTCTCTATTATGCTAATGAGACCTCAATCTCTTTATTCCATCTTACCGAAGACCACTTCCCCTCTAAGAATGCAAGGGGAAATCTCATACTGCTACTAATAAATTTTTACCTTCACCAAAACACAACAATAAAGATGGCCTCTGAGAGAGAGAACGAAAGAATGTCAGGGACATTTAACAGATAATAAATCAGTAATTATGGCTCCCATACAACTCATTTTCATTTGCCATTTCCTGCTCCTTAGCCCCCACCTCCAAACCCTGGTTTTTAATGATATATACATCATTTCATTTTGCATTCCTTCTATTGTGCATTCTCAGGGAAAAGCTGCATTTTCCTGTCTCCGCTTTTTTTATTTTAATGTCCGCTGCATTTCTGACTTCGGATATTGACTTCCAATCCTTGGAACCAACTGTGTTCCCAGAGATTCTGTGTCATTTGGATCCTTGCCTTGGAATTGTTTTTGGAGATCTTGTCCCAACCTTCTTGCATCATGGGTAGGAGTTTCTTAAATCCCATTGCCAATACTCAGAATTGTGTCATCTTGACTTTCTCCATCTACGTTTATACCAAAGCCACCTGCCTCTTATACACCTGTTTCTTATCCTAACTAGGAATCCCAGAAAGCAAACAGGACTACTTGAGGTGGTAGAGATTGGAGGTGAGCCCCATCCCAAAGAAGGGTTTCTCAACCTTGGCACTATCGACATTTGGGGCCAGATAATTCTTTGTAAGAGGTTTCCCTGTGCACTGTAGAAGGCTTAAGGGCATCCCTGGTCTCTCCTCACTCAGTACCAGTAGTGTAGCATTCCTCCCTGAGTCATGACAACCGAAAATGTCTCTAGATATTGCCAATGTTCCCGGGGAGGCAGAATTAGCCCTGGTTAAGAATCCCACCTTATAAGTAGTCAAGCAAAAGATGAAGACCCCTCTCAAGTTCCTCAAGTTCAAGCGCTAGATGGGAACTTGAACCAGTTTTAAAGTCCCTGGATAGTATAAAATTCTATGATATGAAATGGCTTTAAGTCTGTGGTGTGGATGGGGTGAGGTAGGAGAGAAGGGAAAGAGGCAGGAAGAGGAGAAGCTTAGAATCCAGGCCAAATGGATTCGGGGTCCCCCAAGGCATCCTCAGAGAGTGTTCCCATCCCCTCACTCCCACATCGATCCCAGCAGGGGTGCAGTGATATGTAGGAGGAGAGGGGACTTCGAGTCTGAGATTCATAGCAACAGACGCCTCCAAAATGTAGCGAGTACCAGGTGGCTGAGTCTCCCCCGAGCGGCCCTCAGGGACATTTTGCTCTTTCCTTCTAAGGAGCAGGTGCATCTCTTGAGCTTTCCTTTCCCTCCTCCCAGGCTCTGTGCTCCCTCATCACTAAGTACCAGGAGCTATTGTTAGAGGCAATGCCTGCTCCTGGCGTTCGCTTGCTCTCCTTTCTGCTTCAGGACAATCAGCTTCTTCTCTGAAGTGCTTGAGGGACCTCAGCAGATGTGGGAAGGGGGGACAGCCACGGCTTTGCCCCCTCCCCTCCCTTAGACCCCCCACAACTAGCACAACGCTCATGGACATTCACATTCCGAGGAAAGGGATGCAGACAGATGCAATCCATCATTTTCATATGAAATGATGTGCGGGCTGAGGCTTGTACTGATTGCAAAGCTATTATAAACCACGAGTGACTATTTCTCTTATTATTAAATAACCGTCTCATTAGAGCCTGGGGACTTGAGGTTTCTGAGGCCAGCCCCCAGCTCTGAAACTGACACGGCCAGGTTAATTAGACCCCACTTCAAGGACGTCGTTCCGCCTACCTCTCTGAAAGGTTTGCCGTCGGGTTTCTTGACCTTCCCATTAGAACAGCTCTTACGCTTAGCTGGGCCATATTTCAGTTTAATTGTCCTGCCCACGACACACTCACTGTCTCGCATGCTGGAAGCAGAATGAAATAGAAGTCTCCTGTTCTGCCTCAGAGTCTTTCCCCTCCCTTCTGCTGCGTTTAGCACTTGTGTGGGCACTTGGCGGATGCCAAATACAACTTATCGCTTTAATTCCTGTTTTGAGGATACACTTCCTTCTCTGAGGGTGAAGCTCAGGGGCGGAAGAACTTGCTGAGCTATTTTTTCCGATGTCTGCCTCCCCTCCTGCTGACTGGGAAGGTCGTTCCATCTGGGAAAGGAGGGTGCCTTCTCTCGAACACAGAGGAGTCCACTTCGTTGGAAGTATTGCAGGCAGACAAAGCAATTCCCGCTGGCTGTCCTGCCCTCGTGTTTGCCTTTAAGCAACATCTACTGCACACCTGCTGAAGGCCACACTCTGTGCAGGGCATCGGAGATGCCACAAATAGTCACAGCCCCTGCTCTTGAGGAATTGCTGAGCCTGATGGGAAAGTAGACTGGTAAATGGGTTTTACAATATGACACCGTAATGAAAACAAGACACAGGAAAACAAGCAGCTCTTGCATTTTGAGTCCTAACTATGAGTCAAATAATATGCCAAAAAGAAGAAATGGAGCTTGCGCTCTGGAGTCAGACTACCCCAGTCTGAATACCACCTCGGACTCCGGCTAGTGATGGAAACGTGGAAAAGTCTCTTCTCTCTCCATAATGTGCTAAATGCTCAATGAAGGCTAGCTATTGTCATCTCAATAACCCCAGGAGGTAGGTCTTATTGTTCCCATTTGATGGATGAGGAAACTGAGGCTCAGATAGGTTAAATTACATGCCCAATATCCCACATCTGGTAAGTGGCAATTTTTAGATTTGAACTGAGGTTTGTAGGGTGTCCAAGCCACGCACTGAACTAGAGTTCAATAGGAAGGAGCTAGAGGGTTTTTTGAGAAAAATAGGACAGGAGTTTGACCCAAGCCTCTACCCTGGGTCCTGCAGCACGAATACAAGGGGGAAAGTGTTCCAGGTGCTTAGAAAAGACTGGAGGAACCTTAACATCTTTGCCTTATCACTCTCCCTTTCTGCCCCCTTTGTCTCTATCACTCTGAATCACCATCGCTCGCTGTTTCCACTTCCCTACTTGAATACCTAATTGGCATCTCAGCCTTAACACAGCCAAGCCCAGACTTGGGAACTAACTACCTCTCCCAATCTGCTCTTCTCCCAACTATTGGCCCTTGTTGTACATGGCACCACCATTGCTAAGCCATTTAGCCAAAAACTTACAAGCCATCTTGATTCTTCTTTTTCTCATCAGCAAAACACAGAAATTCCACCTTTGTAAAAAAAATATATTTGACATAAAACATTGCGTAACTTGTGACATGTTGACTTGATACATTTATATATTGCAATTTCATTGTCGTTGTAGTGTTAGCTAACACGTCCATTGTGTCACGTGACTATCATTTCTTTTTGTGGTAGGAATAATTAAGATCTAGTCTCCTAGCAGGTTTGATGATTATAATACAGCATTGTTGACTATAATCACTATACTGCGCATTAGCTCTCCAGGACTTATTTATCTCCTCCTTACAAGCTTGTGCCGTTAGACAACCTCTCCCCAATTCCCCCACCTCCAGCCCATGGTAACCATCATTCTGCTTTCTGTTTTTACAAGTTCAGCTTTTTTAGATTCCACGTAGAAGTGATATCATACAGTGTTTATCTTCCTCTGTCTGACTTATTTCACTTAGCATAATGTCCTCAAAGTCCATCCATGCTGTCACAAATGGCAGGATTTTCTTCTTTCTCGCAGCTAAATAATATTCCTTTGTGTATATATAAGCACATCTCATTCATCTATTCATCCGTTGACAGACACTTAGGTAGTTTCCATGGCAACTCCGTCTTCAAACCCATGACTAGCTCCTCGCTTCTCTCCCTCTCTTCCACCGCCATCATCTTTCAACTGGGCGACTGCTGGAGCCTCCTCACTGGTCCTCCTGCTTCCCTCCACAGCCTATTCTCACAATATCAAGAAAGTTTTAGAAAACAAAACAGATCTTGTTTTTCCCCAGTCAGAAAGCTTCGAATGGTCTCTCTTTGCAAACTCCTTTCCCTCCCAAAGCCCAGCCTCACTGTGTCCACTCTCGTGTTTCCTCACTCTGCATCGGCCACGTGACCTCCCAGCTCACGCACGTGTGTCTCTTTGCACCATCGGGCCTTTGTGCTCAGAGTTCCTTTAGCATCAAATGCTCTCCCTTCCATTTTTAGCTGTTCGTCTCCTTCTTGTCATTGAATCTCAGCTTAAAAGTCACAACTTCTGAGAGGGCTTCCTTGACCGCCCAGCTTCCTCTGCCATTCCCTATTTTTATTCTGGCATGTGCTTATTACCAACTCAGATTTGTCCTGTTTTTGTTTCTCCCAACTAAAATACAAGTGCATGAGAAGGGAGACCATGTCTATTTCGTTTCTGTTTCCTCAGTGCTTTGAACACAATCGGAGCCAATAGGGTCTCGTACATAAGTGCTCAATAAATATTTATACCATAAATACATAAATGAGTTTCTTTCTTCCTCCATCCCTCTTGTCCCTCCTTAGCTAGCATCTCATCTCTTAAATCCAGTATTCAGACATATGATGTCTCAAGCTTAGTCATTTGTAACCACCAGGTAAAATCCTAGAACTCTTCAAATGTAATGATGAATTCTAAATTCTAAAACGTAGCATGTGGATGGCTCCCCTGTTTACCAGCCTCACGAAAATGGCTCCTTGCCTCCGTGACTACAAGTGAAGAAGAGGTCGCTCCACAATTACCTTGAAAGAAGCCATGGCGTCTGTAATCACCGTCAGGTTCTCTCTGCGCAGCCTCGCATGCACATCCCTGACTTCACTTCACTAGTTTTAATTATCCCCGCCATGAGCAAGTGAAGACTTTAGAGCTATTTTAGAAGCAGAATTAGCAAACTTGGAGATTGGATAACTTTCTCCAATGTGTTTCACTGTAATTGTTCCTGTGTTGAATAGAAACAAAAATAGAATCAGCTTATCCATTTGCTGAATTTATATTGTTGGGGAAGTGAGGAGTTTTTTTATTTCTCTGGATTTGTGAATATCAAGCCTACTTGGACTGACTCTAGCCCTGACTGAACCGTTCTTATCCTACCCTAGGACAGGATTTCAAGTCCAGTCGCATTTCGCTCTCCCTTGCATACAAACACACACACACACACACCATTGCCACCCCCACCCCCACCATCAGCAAGCCACTCCATAAAACTCACAGTCATACACACACTCACATCCACACGCACACACAGACCCCATCACTAGCGGTAGCCGCAGCAGAAAACCTCTCCATAAAACACGCACATGGACACGTTCACGCAAAACACAAAAACCACATGCCCAACCCAGCCACTTCTTACCATCACTGTTGCAACACTGTAGCACAAGCCACTGCCATCTTTTGACTGGACCATAAGAGCCTCCACGTTTCCTCTCTTCTCCTCCATCTGCTTCAGAACTAGTGTGCTTCTTGTACAGGGAAAGTCAGATCACATCCCTCCCTGACTAAAGGGATCCCTCTGCTGGTCCCTCCCCACGTGCAGACTAAGTCCTGGCCACATCCTACAAGACCCGCGCTGATCTGGACCCAGCTTTCCTTTCTGACGTCATCCTGTATGACTCACTCTGCTTCAGCCACCCTTGCCTCAGATATTTCTGGAACCCACCAACTCCACTTCAGCCTCTGCACCTCTGTGCTTGCTGTCCCACCAGCCCAGAACACACTTGCAGCCGATATCCACATGACTGGCTCCCTCACTTCATGCAAGCCTTTGCTCAAATGCCACCTCCTCCAAGAAGTCTTCCCTGACCACTCTGTCTAAAACATCACCTTCAGTCTCCTCCACCCTTTCACCGTGATTTTTGTTCCACAGTCCTATCAGCTCATAACATTATATTATCTAACTATCTGTGTATTTGTCATTTCTCTACATTGTATGTAAGAATGTGCCAGCAGGAGGAATGGAATGAGGAAAGCCAAACTTGATTTTAACACCTATAAATAGAGAGAGGCTATCCCTCTGCAGAAACTCCCACCAAGTGGAAAGAAAATATTGGGGGAAAACTCAGCCAAAAGTGTATTGTAAAACAGACATGGAGATTAGATAGATGGATAGATAGAGAGATAGAGATGATAGATAGAGATAATGATTGATAGATAGATATAGATAGGTGATAAATAGATGATGATGATGATGATGATGAAAATAGATAGATAAACAGATATAGATGATAGATATAGACATATAATAGACGAGTATGATGATGAAGATAGATAGAGATGATAGATGGTAAAGATAGATAGATATGGATTGATAGAACCATACAGATGATAGATTGATGACAGATAGATAGATGATAGATATAGATAGATGGATGATACATGATGATGTTGATGATGATGAAGATAGATAGATATAGATGATAGATAGATAGATAGATAGATAGATAGACAGATGTTACAGATAGATAGTTAGATGATAGATAGATAAATAGATGTTACAGATAGATAGATGATAGATAGATAGATAGATAGATAGATAGATAGATAGATAGATAGATAGACAGATGTTACAGATAGATAGTTAGATGATAGATAGATAAATAGATGTTACAGATAGATAGATGATAGATAGATAGATAGATAGATAGATAGATAGATGGATAGATGTTACAGATAGATAGATGATAGATAGATAGATGTTACAGATAGATGATAGATAGATAGATAGATAGATAGATAGATAGATGTTACAGATAGATAGATGATAGATAGATAGATAGAGATATAGAGAAACAATAATAGCAATAGCAATAGCAATGATTAATGCCAGACCCTCTGCTAAATAAATTACACTATGTCAAACCTTACTGCAGCAATTCAAGATATGAACCATTGTCCCTATTTTAAATATGAGGGAGCTGAGGCTCAGAGAGATTAGGGAACTTTCCAAGGGTGACATGATTGGGAAGTGACAGAGCCTGGATCTAAACCTGGACTCACTTCATTTCAACCACACTTCATCAGGCACAGGTGTGACCTCCCCGATTCCATTAGTTTCACTGTCTTTCTTATTGAGAGTCTGAGCTTCCTGAGCAGGGAAACCTAGGAGGAAAATGAAAAGCGCTTGTGAAATGGTTTCACCCATCACTGACGGCTGCACGCTTCCTATACAGAAGGACTTTCTATGTGTTTGCAAACGCCGGTCCACTCGGGAGTCTTGTTTTTAAGAAATGAGAGTGCTGCAATACATGAGAACTGAGACATGACTGTCATTGTCATGCTCCTAAGGTCACACTCATTACAAGTCTTTAACTCTTTTGGTTTTCCTGGTACTAGATGCAAAGGAGTTGAGAAACTTCCAGAAGCTGCCATGCACCTTGTTGATCAGGAAACTTTATGCAAACAAACAAAAAAAAAATTAAGAGGCTTACAAAGACGTTATGAGTGAGGCTTTGAGGTACTCCAGCAGGATTCGTTTTACATATATTTATAAAGTGCCTACTATATGCTGGGTATCAAGGATATAAAAATAGTAACCTAGCCTCTATTCTCAAGAAGATCAGATGGGATCCCCTCTAGCAGACCCACAGGCAACACGACATCACTCAAAGAGATGAGGACAGCCCTCCATCAGTGAAACCAATGCAGGCTGAATCAGTGAGTTCCTTTATTGGTAGGCTTGGTGGACCGGCATGGGCTTGAGACAAAAGCTGAATCTAGTTCTGTTGCTCATCTGCCAGGAGTGTAGCATTCTGCCAGCTAGACAACCTCTCTAAGCTTCAGCTTCCTTGTACATAAAATTGGGATGGTGGTGACCACTTGGTACTGTTTTGGAGAGGAATAAATAAATAATGATGCAAAGAGCCATGCACAGTGCCTGGCCCCCTGTAGGCACTCAACATATGGTGATTATTGAAAGCAGATGTAGAAGGAGAGAAAGGAGGAAGGAAGGAAGGAAGAGAGGGAAGGGAGGGAGGGAGGAAGAAAGAAAAGAAAGGAAGGAAGGAAGGAGGAATGGATTTCTATGTTAAGATTCATGCAAAAAAAATGGAATGACTTCAGAAATGATCTGACGTGCCTGCTTTGGTTAACACTGCTGCAGTGGAGGAAACTGACAAGAAATCAATTTCAGGAAATTGTTTCGCCAGGAATGAAATGCGCTTCTGTGGACAACCTCAGAATCTGACTGTACTTTCCATTCAAGAGATGTCCACACATCCCTCATCCGTTATCCCAATGCCTGCATCCCTCTTCATCATTCTTGCTCATCCAGACCCTTGGGGGATTGCACAAAAATATCACAATATCTGTACAACTAAGGTGCTACCCACAAATATTAAAATGTGAGCTTCAATTTGGCAAAGGCAACAAGAATCTTGTCAACGTCCAACTCTTTAATCCAGAAAATGTATCTAAAAATATCTTCTTTCTAAAAAATATCGTTAAGGAAATATTCGGAAGCACAGACAGTTTTGTATCCAAGGCTATTTACAATATAGAGAACAGGAAACAACCCAACTGTCCAGTAATATGGCACTGGTTAAACAAATGAGAACACATTAATGTGTTGAACTGTTATGCGGTCATTAAAATTATGTTTATGGGCATTTTAATATCATGGAGAAATACCTCTTCAACACTGTCAAGCGAAATAATGAAGAGGCAAAATTGTATTACTGGTCTCAACTATGTGGAGGAAAGAAATTAAAATCTACTGGTGGAAATATACTGGAGTTGCCAACCCTTTGTGTTGTGTTTAAGAATGATTTTTTCTACTTTGAAATATTTTTCGTATTTTCCAGAGTTTATACTATAGAATGATGGAGAATTTCCCCTACCTCATTCTATTCCCAGTAAGTAAGTTTCTACCCACTGCTGTTCTGTGATCCTGGCCTTCTTCAAACTAAGATAAGAAGGTATGGTTGGGAAAGACAGGGAAAAGACAGAGACCTATTTAGAGTTATGATAAACTGGGATTATGCTAAGAGATGGTCAGTCATTACCAGGAGAAAGCTTCGTCTTAAAGGTGTTTCCCAAAGCCAAGCTGGAAAGACCCTGTCTTTCATCCTCTCCTCTCTAACACAGCTCTTGAAAGGGTTCAGATTTCTACACATCCTCAAGCCAGTGGGGGGAAAACTGGGTGGAACTTAAAAACTGACATCCTGACAAAAGGTTGAAAGGAAGAAGTGGGGTGCTAGGGAGAATCTCAGACAAATTAAGGCACCAACAGAACCATCAGAGAGGGGAAGGGGGGGAAAGAAGATCACAGAAAAAAATAAGTCAATCTCATCTACCTACAAGCTTCCAGCAGATAACCAAGCTGTGTGTAAGAAGCAATAAGGCATGGTGGGGACTGTGACAAATTGGAGAGTTCACAGCCTGTTGAATGGGAATAGTTAGCTCAGTTCCAGGTAAATGTAACCGCATACTAATGCAAGCCCAGTTTTTGCGAGACTTTTCCCATTTTTCAATCCATAAATCCATACTTTTACGTTTAAAAAACCCATACTTTTAAATATTGGTAAATAATAATACATTTAAACTTCATTTATAAAAATATGATATATAAATGTAATAAAAATATTATGAATAAAAATATTACAAAATGTGATAAAAATTATGAATTCTTTTTGGTTGATGGACACATGGGTAACATGACTGTTCTCTATTTTTTAAGTAAGAAAGAAGAAACAAAGGCAAAATTTAAAACCCCTCTACACAAGTAGAATGTTGACAGGATGTACTCAGCTTTCAATCACACTATAGTATAAGAATTCTCTTTTTAAACTATAGGAGGTAGTCTTAGTATGAACCAATAGGCAATTAAAAGGGAAATTAAAAAGGAAAAGAGGCTTTTACTTAGTTTTACTATCTCCTATGATTTTTTCAGGACTGGATGTCACCATTCCATTCTTCCAAATTTTAAGGGGTCACAAAATAGTGAACATGTTAGCTAAAACCATGGAAAAACAATAAAAGACTGGAAAAATTAGCATGGAGTGAAAGTTGGGTAAGCTCCCCTCTCCCAGCCCGGAGAATGGACATCTCTTCCATCTTGCCCATCCTCAGCTCTGTGAGTGAGCATCGCTGTTGTGTTAAAACGACACATCCAGATTCATTTGTTTGACAGATGAAAAGAGCTGTGAGACAAGTCAGGTCATACAGACGGTGATGTCGTCGCTGTCTTTATAAATCACTCCCGCTTATCCCGAGGCAATGCCAGGTTAGTCCGTGGGTGCCTCTGATTCAGATGGCAAAGATGAGAACAAATCGCGCCTTTGCTGAAGATTTTAGCTAGACAGATTGCGGTAGGATATACTGGGCCAGAAAGGATCAAAGTCTCACAAGTGTAACACGGGAGCATCATAACTTACTTGTGTGATGGTCTCATTCCAAGGGTTGGCATCTGGTAACCGAGGGGAAATAAGAGCTGAGCCATCCTACAGATGGCTAGTAAGGTCCAGCTGTCCTTGGCTATGACCAACTCGCCTTCCATTGACCCATGACCCTGGGGTCCTCCTAGCCCAGCCCATTGGTTAAGGCAT